GCCTGATGGATTAGGCTATGGTTGACAGACCAAAAGCAGGGGATAACTATTACTGGGAAATCAGACGCCGGTGATGAGTGAGGTTCCCCAGGGCTCTGTCCTTGGGCCTTTCCTGTCCAATAATTTCATCAATGACCTGGAAGAGGGGGTGACCAGACTGCTGATCAAATTCACAGATGATACTAAAATGGGGGAGGTGGTTACAGCTGAGGAACAGATACTCCGGATGCAGAAGGATCTGGACAGACTATGGAAGTGGGCAGGAGACAACAGGATAGCATTCGATGCAGATAAGTGCAAGGTCTTGCACTTGGGGCATAGGAATGGGTGCCATAAATACAGGCTAGGGGACAAGTGGCTGGAGAGCAGCACTTGTGAAAGGGACCTTGGGGTGCTGGCTGACTGCAGGCTAAACATGAGTCAGCAGTGTGATGTGGTGGTCAAGAGGGCAAACGGCACCCTTGTGTGCATAGCCAGAAGTGTGGCTTCTAGATCAAGAGAGGTATTACTGCCACTCTGTATGACTCTGGTGCACCCGCAACTGGAGTACTGTGTTCATTCCTGGGCTCCACATTACAGGAAGGATATAGCCAGGCTGGAATTGGTACAGTGTAGGGCCACAAGGATGGTGGCCAGATTGCAGGGAAAGCCATATGAGGCGACTAAGGGAGTTGGGTCTTTTCAGCCTGGAGGAGACTCCAAGGGGATCTGTTGACAACATATAGGTACATGAGGGGGTGCCATGTAGAGGCAGGTAGAGACCTGTTTTCCCCTGCTGAGGAGGGCAGGATGCGTTCCAGTGGAGCAAAGCTCAGGGAACCAAGGTTCAGTTTGGATGCCAGGAAGCACTTCCTGACAGTTAGGACCTGAAGGGTATGGAATGGGCTTCCACACGAGGTGGTTGAAGTCCCATCAATGAGGGTGTTCAAGGGTAGACTGGACATGCACATGGTAGGCATGTCATGAGCAGAGCCAGCTAGAGCAGTGGGTCAGACTAGATGGCCTGGGAGGCCCCTTCTGGCTCACTGTTTCTATCTTTCTATGTTTATATGTATTGTAGGACATTTCCTTCTGGTAACCAGCAAAGAAGCCCATGTTCATAGGCTTGCAGAAGAGTCTTATTTGTACAAACCTTAAAAGAGATTCTGAGAGCAACTATTTCTTAACAGGAACAATAGCTTGATTTGAAGCAAGGCCAACAATACTGGGCAACCAAATCCTGTGTGAATCCAGGTACATGCAATAAGCTCGACAACAATAAACTTCCTCAACTTTATACTCTCCAGATTTGTTGGACTACAGCTCCAATCGCTCACAACCAGCCCTCAGATTTCCAACTTTGATCTGCTCAACAACAGCATCAATAGCAAGAAAACATAACTCTTCTGCTCAGTTCTGGTATTCAGAACAAATCTGGGAGTGATATGGGCTGATGGGAGTTGACCTCTAAAATGTCTGGAGGGGCTGGATCAAAGAAAGCCGGATTATTTCTTTCATATCAGGCTCTAGTTGTTGGATTCTAAGGTTCTAATAAAAATAAGTAACTCCCTCTATCTGAAAGTCTGACACACCTTCCGAATACTGTGAGCCAGGAGAGGTTGTTGCTGTCACTGCTGCCTACTTGTCAAGGGAGTCTTTTCCTTCCTGGATGAGTCTTATATGCTTGCCAAGGAGAACTGTTCAGGCAGTTATGTGTTATGATACTGGTGTTTGCCTTTTTTGCCTTTGCATGTGTTGTGCTGTTTTGCAGCTGGGAGAAACTTAAAGGATCTGAAGTCATGCCTAGAAAGTGGCAGTGGTGGGTAACCACCAGCTATGAGACTGGGGCTGAGGGTTATATGTTCATTTCAGAGTAAGTTAATTGGATGTCTGTGTGTATGTGGTGTCGCTGACACACTTCCTGCATGGTGGACTTTGGTGAAGCTTCTGGGGTAAGTACCTATGTTTATGCCATTTTGAAAGTTTATGGTTGTATGTTGTCTCCATCCCAGCTTGCCTTAATTTGGTGAACCCTGGCATATATTCAATACATTTGCAGTTAGTGCATAATTCTACTTTGAAAATATACAAGTTTAATAATTAATCAGTAACCTATGATTTCAGACAAAATATATATTTCATTACCACCTGAAGTTCTGGTAGGCCTGTCAACACCTCTGTTTCCTTCCTTTTCCACTTGTACTTTTAACTGCTCAACATATAGGCTGACTTCCAGTGAGTGATGAAAAGTTATGGAAGCTTCACCTGCTAAACTTCTTCCTGTCTAGTCACCAATTCAAAGTGTTGGTTTTAACCTTGAAAACCCTAAACTGCTTGGGGCTAGGCTGCCCAAGAAGTGTCTTCTTCCAGACCACCAAGGCCAAGGCCCTCTACTGGGTGTCCCTGCTAAATGAGGTGAGGTGGGCAGTTAGGAAACAGAGGGCCTATTCTGTGGTGACAACCCATCTGTGGGAATGCTCTCCCCAGGGATGCTCATTTGATGCCTACATTTTTTCAAAATGTAAAGAAATTTTTTAGTGTTCATCAGTTCAGATCTTTGCACTAGGTTCTGTTATGTGATGCATTGATATAATGCTTTCCTACTGACTTTGTGCTGGTTTATTATTGTTTTTATTACTTTGTATTTTATGTTTTTAATTTACTTGTACAAAGACTAAAAAAGCTTGAGCTATTGGGCAGCCTAAAGGTAAAGCAAGCAAACAAATAAATGAAAGTGTATGCTTTATTTAGTGGAATCCATTCCTTGACATCACACAATTATTATTCCATTATTGTTCATGTTGTGTCACTAACAGAATAACAGCACATGAGCTAAAAACATAGAGAAGGGAGAGGTAAGTATAACAAGGCATGAATGCAGAGAGTAAAATCTCAAAAAATGAAGGTACAGTTTTCGTTCTAGTTCAGGTTCATTTTTTAAAAATTCTCTACTCTACTTGAGGTTCAGACATTAGAATTTTAAAAATTAGTTTATTAATTTTGAGTCAGTTACATTTTTTAAACAAAAATTATTGGTCCTTGATGGTGTTTCCACCTAAAACCTGATCTCCAGTAGCAATGTAAAGAGCTTGGGGTGAGACATTAAGAAAACTTGGACTTTTATAAAAGTCTACGGGGGGTAAGATAGTGAAGGAAGTAACTCAGTGATTGAGAAACAGTGAGGCGAACAACCAAGCCATGAAGCCTGTCTGAAGGAATGTGGAGAGGAGAAAAAGATAATTGGCTTGAAAGAAAGTTTGCTACTTCCTATCTCATCCTCCCAATAGTTTTATGGGACAGGGGGTCGTAGGGAAAGGTGAAGCCAGAAAGGAGTGAACTAGTGAACTTGTAGTTATGAATACGCAGGCGTAATAGGTTGATGAATATTATCTCACACACCTCGAATAGACAATAGGCTACTTATAATGTACATGTGATGTATGTAGATGTATGTAGTGGGATGAGCTGGGAGATATGAAGTAGGCGAACGGAAAGACTGTACCCCCTTAGTACCTCATCCAGTGAGGGAATTGGGGAGGGCTATGGTGGCCGAGTTAGGGTACAAAAGGAGACGATTTGTGCTTTGGAGAGATTCTGATAGAATGAGCTCTCCCCATCTATTGCAATAAATGAAGGAATTGCCTCATTCTGATGGTAGTCTTGGTTATTTAATTTGAGGGGAAGTATTTTTGCAGTTTTTTGCATAACAATAGCACACAGGTCTGACTTTTTATAAGGAAGCTTCATGTGCTCATAGGCCCTTCATCTGGGGAGCACCCATAGTAGCACACCACATGCTTTGCCACACCAAGTCCAAGGTTTAACAATCCCTGGTATTGTAGCTGCATGCATATCAGGAATTCAAAAAAGGCATGATCTATCCACTTGAAATCTTGGAGAGCCAGTGAGAGTAGGTAGCAGTGATCTAAATGGATAGATTGGCTTTCCTGGTAGGAGGCAGCTTCCTAAACTGGCTTGCCTTGTGGTTCCACAGCCATTTGAACCTCTGCCTATCAGCTGCTGCGAACACGAGGTTGGAGCCATTGTGCTCCTATGCTGCTGGTGAGCTTTCCATGAGGGAAAGGAATGCTGGACTAGATTTGGCTTTGGCCTGATACAGCATAGCTTTTCTTATGATCCTGAAGGTCTCCCACCTTCAAGCTCTCCATCTCGCTCTCTCTCAACTCCTGTAGCATGAAATAAAATTGTGCTAGCCTTTAAAACCCTTCTGTAAATACTTTTTGCAGAGTTATATTTCAATCTTGCATTTCTCTCATGCCTCTTCGGAAATTCCTAGGCATGCCTCCTTTTCTTCCCTATTAAAGCCATTTGAATATTAAGGGCGTCATATTCCTGATTAAGGTTGGCATTTTTTGAATTTTCAACAAGTTTAAAATACGTTTTAAACAAGACAAAGCTATCTTCTTGCCGCTCCCGGATACTTCAAAACTCCACTGAATCAGTTCCTTGAAATGGACTTAGATCTGTCTCAGTTTGAGGCAAAGTAATCTATTTATATAATTGCTTAGGTTGCTCAACTGCAGATAGAAAGGCTATCTGAACTTCCATGTGCCAATCTTCCCTTTGATTTTCCCCAGCCGTTTCTGTGCAATAACTTACGGACAGCTTTGCTTGTGCGCATGAGCTGGGCGAAGCATGTCTTCCTGAGTATTTTTCAGTAACGCATTGACTTGCATACAATGGAATGGGAACTGAGTGGGCGTAGGGAGCTTGGCTTGAACTGCCCCTTTAAAGTCGCTGGGCTCCTGTTCGGTTGTGCAGAAAAAAACGATGACGCACGCATGGCGGAGGGGAGGAGGTGTCTCCCCCTGAACGCGTGGTTGTGCCTCATTGGCCAGGCCCGTTATCCAATAAGAAGCAGACATCTGGGACGCCAACGTTCGGGGGAGCAGCCCAACCTGCCGTGTCACCGGCGGGCCAATGGCAGTACCCGTCAGGATTGGGACGAGCAATCAGCGCGCGGTAAGGGCAGGCGTTCGACTAAGCCACTATAAAAGAGGGCGAAAGCAGTTCGCCGGCTGCAGTTGCTCGGCCGCTCTTGTCAGACTGGGGCTGTGATCGTGCTTAAGGAGCCAGGCAGCTCTAGCGATCGGGGGAAAAATGCGTCCCGTGCTAGTCATCTGTTCCCTGCTGGCTCTGGCGGTGGCCGGGCCTGCCCAGTACTTCAGGGAGGAGTTCGGGGATGGAGGTGAGGGGGCTGTTTCGGGGTGCCAAAGGAGGGGTGGGCTGCTGTCCTTGGGGTGGGGTGGTTCTGCCTAGTAAAATGGGACTGATGTATGTCTTGGTTTCTATAATCGAGTGGGTGGGTCGTTTATTGTTTGAACTGAGTGCAGCATTTTTCTACTAAATTAAAATTAAACTGTAGACTATATGGGTCTATAATTTGAGCAAAAGATTAGAGGCAAGGAATGAGTGGATGGGGACGGTGCATAGAGTCAAGGAGTGACGGAGTGAATGGCGGTTGAGGGCACGCAGGGCTCTTGGTTCGTTTTTCTCTTTTCCCCTCCCCCGCCATCTTTGATGGGGGGGGGCTTCGGGAGGGCTGTGGTCTTTTTGAGAAACTGCAGAAACAGGGCATCGGGTGTCGTGACGTAGATGTAGGTAGTCTCGTACTTTCCGGATGTTTTAGATAAAATTCTCAAGCTCCAGGAAACATTGGTAAGGTTAGGGGTTCAGGCAGTTGTAGTTAAATATGTCTGGAAGACACCATAAGGTGAATATTTGTTACAGTGTTACGTATACGATATTCTAGCAATTCTTAAAAGAGCCTTGCACGGTAGGTTAGCATTATTCCCATATTGCAAGTGGTTATGTGGAGGCTAAATGAGAGGTTTTAAGATGAACCGATGACTTCCTGGCAAAAATTAGGAGATTCTTGACCTTGCTTAAGCCCTTTCTAGCCTCATGCGCTTCGAAGGCTTGGAGTCAGTCTCGAGCATTACGATCAAGGCTAGCAGGAGTTGTGCAAAATACGTGGTGCATTCGGGGCCTTTAGGGGTATTTGGACCACAATTCCCAGGATTCTTATCCAGAAGGACCACTGACTGAGAATTCTGGGTGTTGCAGTTCAAGCGTGTCTGGAAGGCCCAAAGTTGGGGAAGGCTGCTCTAGGATGTAGTGCCAGAAAGGAAGGTTGAACCGTATGGCCAGGAAGCAGCATGCAGTGGGTTTAAAGGGGGGTATTTTTTAAAAGAATATAAATGGCTATTATCTTCGGGCAAAATAGATGTATAAGAAATACTCCTCCTTGGAGGAGGAACTCTGAGAAGGGTACAGCCATAGTATACTCACATTTTTTGAAAGGAATTTAAGATTGATTTTATCTTAGAGTTGTGATTATTAAAAGTCCTTCTAAAGAGGTGTTACCAAGTTTGATGGTGGTGTAAGAAAATATATTTGGGGAGGATACCTTGCTTTATGTGTGGCAGAAGATCCTGTTGTGTTTAGTCTAGACCAGCAATGCATCAGGGACTTGATAATTAAGCTATAAACAGTGGGGGCCATGGGAACATAGAGCGTGGACTAAATAGATCATATGGGATATCAGTAGAGCACACAGACCGCCCCTTCCTGGAATATCATGAATGACAAGTGTGGGCTCCTGCAGTGTGAACAATTTAATAACTGAATAGCTGCTATATTTTTTCCTACTAATTTATAGAAATACTCCGGCTGCTTCATATGATAGCAGGTGGCATTTATCCAACATGGTGTATAGCTTAAAAAGTAGAACTAGGCTTTATAAAATAAGTTGGGGGCAGGATGGATTTAAATCGCTAGTCAGTAAGACTACGTTTGTATCATGGTTTTCTACATGATTTGCATGCCTGCCTGCCTTACCTGTAGGTAGAGGGATGTCATTAAAATATTTTCAAACTGGGTCTCTTTTATGGCCTGCTGCCGATTTTGTCCTCCAGGAAAAAAAATAATAAGCCTCAGACTCAAAGGCTTGTGACTTATTCAGCTCAAGGTTTCACTTTCATTTTTACTGCTTGCCCCTCCTCCCTCACATCTAGCTGCTTGTGCAGATTCATTCCACTCCCAACAATCTTACTCTGTTCATTGAAACTTGGCACTTAAGAGGTAAGATGTTGAGCCTATGTACATAGATTTGGAAAGAAACAGTGGGATGGAGGCCTTTTTTCCCAACTCTGTTTATTTTGTAACATTTTTGCTGTAAAGAAGAGGCATGCTATCTCTGCAGACAAATTGAGTTTGAGAACTGTAAAGCCAAGCATCTGTGATGATAACTTCTAGATAGAAGAATTGCCCAATAAACTGACAAATTTCTGGAAGTGCATGACATTCTGAATGGATACATGGAATTTATTTACCAAAGAATGTAAACATTGTATGAATCTATAGCCACATGCTACATAATTTAAAATAATCCTTATTTCATGATGAATAACCTTGATCTAAAATGTATCTTAAGTAGAAAACCATCTTTAGATTTTTCCTGAAGAAGGCATTTTATTAAAAAATTTAAAAAATCTGCATTAAAGTGATTCAAATCTTACAAATTTATTTTAAAAAATCATTGGATTTTATGTACCCTGCTGGAGGGTAATAGCAGTACTATTCATTCAGTGCCAGTTAAGATTAGCTGGAAGTAGTGTACCTCTGTTAAGGGTCAAGTGTTGTGCATTAGAGCCTTCCAATAGGTTTAAATGAATTAAAAATTGACAGCTGAAGCTGCTGTGGTCACTCATGCTCTTAACATGCATCTTTATTTTAAATTATTAATTGGCTTTTGCTCCAAATGGAATCTAGGGAAAGGTAAATGCAATGTTTCTTTATTCTTGACTATAAAGATCTCTTAGGCCAGGATTAAATCCCATTGAACACAGTAGGAATTACTTCAGAGTAAATGAAAGCATGTGATCGTTCTGCTAAGCTGTTCGCTGATAATCAAAATACTTCTGGATGTTTTATATTGGCCATGCAGTTCCCTAACGTAAATGGGAGTGGTGACCTTACTTGTATAGTAAAATAAAGTTTGAATATTGCTGTTCTGCTGGTCTAGCACACTAGAAACACACCTAGTGCTATCCTATTCCTCTGTGAGGGTGGTCCAGTATAAGAAGGTGATGAATAGAACTCTGACACGTAGTTTATTCTGCTTAGGATTTGGCAGACCACTTTTTGTCATTAAACACTTAATAGCTGAGATGGTGCACTGCTGAAAGACCAGATAATTACTGAAGAAGTTCTAGTTTATGTCTAAGTTGTTTTGACCATGCTCAGAGTTTGCTTGTTCTCACTTGAATTCTGCTCCTTCCTCTAAAGGGCTCTGGGCGCAATGTGCATGGTGGCTACCTACTTTATACTCAACAATCCTGTGAAGTAGGTCAGACTGAGAGCTACCCTGGAAGGGAAGTCACAAAAAAGAGATAACCATTCAGTATAACAATAGGACAAATGATGTAATAAATAAAGCAGCATCAGCAACAACCAAGTATACATCCGAGATGAATCACGTTACTAAAACAGATTGGACACAAACTCAAAGATCAAGATTTAAGTCCATGAAATGCTCCATTTGAGTCTCCGAAGTGGAACCTTTCTTCTGAGTGTACAGAATCCATTACCTGTTTGAAGTCATCTTAATTTCATTGACCATATTGGGAGGTACTATGACTGATAGATTGTTCCTTAAGGTTAGCCTGAGAAGCCATAATTTTTGCCCTAGGTTTGCCATTGAGCATGGGATTGGACTTGTATAGCACACAGAACAGTAATCTGACATGGTCCATCAGTCTTCTCCAAGATGCTACATGGCATCAGCTAGGGAAAGCATAGACTTATATCACACTGCCTTGCAGTTTAGCTTGCTTCAACTTGACTATTAATTTTAAAATAATAGGATGAGCTTTGGTTTCTTTAAAAAATGATGGTTTGAAGGGGAAAAATTGAAAAAAATAAAAGCAAACTTGTATAAAGTTACAGTAGGCTAGTTGCATAAAAAAATCCTTGTTGGGCAAAGAGCAAAAAAACAAAAACGGGGGGTTTAAGTTGTACCAGAATTAATTTTTCTCTGTAACCTCATAATAAAGTAGCATTGATACAGAAAGTGTTCTTGTAATGCACAGTAGTTCATTTCAGCTCTTCAAATTGAAACACTTATTTTCTAACTTCAGATGCCTGGACAAGCCGCTGGGTGGAGTCAAAGCACAAATCGGACTATGGGAAATTCATCCTCACAGCTGGCAAATTCTATGGAGATGCAGAGAAAGACAAAGGTGAGGTCATGTGGTGGAGAGTAATATACTTGTAATTTAATCACAAGTAGATTTCTGAAGCTGATGGTGCATAGCATTGGACTGTCCGAAACACACTGACTTTAATGGACACAGGCAGTCCACAGGGTACATATGAGTTCCATTCAGAGAAAATGGACATTTGTCTTTGTGATCCAACTTACACATAAATGTGACATAGTTGTCCCTTCATATTTGTGGATGTCGGGGACTCAGGACCCCCACAGCAGTGGAAAAACCACAACTCTGCCCCCCCACCCCATCTCACCAGTGTTGCCTTTTTGCAGCAAGGAAATGCTGGAGAGATTTTCTTACCCAGATGGGTGGGGCAGGAAGGCATGCTTTGTAGGCCTCCCTTTACCCTTTCACTTACCCTCTCTATGGTGATGCTTTGGAGGCTATTTCTCCTTTTCCTCCTCTCTCTCTGGTGATGACAGTTCCCTGCAGTAATTTTTAAAAAATTAATAGGCTGTATGGTAGCTTATAAGTACAGGTAGTTTGTAACTCAAATGTTCGAAACTGAAAAGACTACCTTTATAAGCAGCCTAACTTATTTATAGTGTCTTAGTTTCCGAGTCATTAACTTACACTTCATTGAAAAGTATTGCTGTGTTCAGAGTTGCTTCTCATTACAGCGTAGTGTATTTTATATATTCTTCAGCCAGGCAGTTTAGAATGGTTTATTGATGCATTTCGGCCTCTAATGTGAAAGGTTGCTCCTGTGTTGGAATCCAGAAACCTTAGCTTTCACAGATCACTTTTTTTAGTTTAGGGGACTTGAGCCTCAAATCTGTGAAACAAATCCAGACTGCACTGGGTCCCAGTGTGGTCTACTGTGGTTCCTAAGAGAGCCATACTGCATTTCCCCTGATTATTGATTGTTTTGATCAGCTTTTGTACAATTTTTCCCATTCTGGAAGATTGGAATGTTTCTTCTAAGGCTCAGTTGCTGGCACTAAGAACTTTTAAGTACTGGTATTTCAGGCTTTGCCTTTGCCGGTTCTGGTTCCGGTTATCACTGGAACACAGGCCTGGAGAGCTTTTTCAAAATTAATTTGGCGCTCAAGAGTGAAAGAGGGTCTGAAATTACTGTGGGGTGGAGGAGGCTTTGAGTAAAGGGCTGATGTCATCAGATCAAAAAGTAACTTGTAGTTCTGTGTAACAGTATCTCTGTCCTCAGTGGAGGGCTTAACTTTTTGTCTAATCTTCTCAGGACTTCAGACAAGCCAGGATGCTCGTTTCTATGCTATTTCTGCTAGATTTGATTCATTTAGCAACAAGGACAAAACCCTGGTGGTGCAGTTCACAGTGAAACATCAGCAAAACATTGACTGTGGAGGTGGTTATGTGAAGCTTTTCCCCTCAAGCCTGAACCAAGAAGACATGCATGGGGACTCTGAATATAACATTATGTTTGGTGAGTACTTGCTTAGAGGGCAAACATGACTTGAGCATTTGAAGTTAACCTGTAGGATGTATGTTTGGGAAGCAGAGGTCCCCCAAAGATGGACATGCCTGACTACTTAGGAGATATTGGAGATGAGCCTTTCATGGTAGCATAGTATTGTGTACCACTTGTCAGTAGCTAATTTGGTCCAGCCTTGGAGTGGTTCTTGCATTTAGGAATAAGACTGTTCTCTTCCCTGTTAGCAGGTTAGGTTGTGTGATAGTGAACTTTTTGGCCAAGGGGTAGGCTCCCATGTATTTCCCTACATGTATACACACTTGAAATTCTCTATTTGTTTTCATCCCACAATGCATGCACTTATTTACAAGCATATGCTCTGTTCATCAGTGAGTTCATGGAATATTTGTTCTCTCAAATAGGATTTTTTCCAAAGCCTAATTGCTGCACAGTGGGGACAATAATGGGACACTGCCAGCTAAAGGTTCCCCACCACTGGATTAAGCATTTTTGTTTTCTGCTAGTAGCAGGCTAAGGTTGAATGTATACTGCTGCTATGCTCCTTAATGTCTTCTTGAAGCAAGGTGCTGCATTTCATGATGAAGCATGAGTTCTGTTCTTCAATGGGTCTTCCTGATGCATTTTTGTCTTTAAAATAGGTCCTGATATCTGTGGCCCAGGTACCAAGAAAGTTCATGTGATATTCAACTACAAAGGCAAAAATGTCTTGATCAATAAAGACATCCGTTGTAAAGTGAGTATCCAGAGATACAGGGGAGGGAAGTCCTCATATTAGTACTCAGGGCAGGTCTAGAGGAGATTGATAAAAATGATGAGGGGCCTGGAGATTTTGATGAAAGATGGAAAGAACTGGGATTAGGTAGTAATATATTGACCATCAGGCAATGAATGTACTGAGGAAATGAACTCTAGGAAAGAAGGAAGTTCTGGTTTGGCAAGAGAAAAGATCTGTTTTCTTCCAATTGAAGCTGTTTCCTTTGACAGGATGATGAGTTCACCCATCTCTATACCCTCATTGTCCGTCCTGATAACACATATGAAGTGAAGATTGACAACAACAAAGTGGAGTCTGGCAGCTTGGAGGATGATTGGGATTTCCTGCCTCCCAAGAAAATTAAAGATCCAGAGGCAAAGAAACCAGATGATTGGGATGAGAGGGCGAAGATAGATGATCCTGAAGATACAAAACCAGAGGTGAGAAGGTGGTAGTGGAGTTAAACAATTTGTGTGATTTATACAAGCACAAAGATAGGTTTTCAAAGCAGGGGAGATTGTTAAGGAGCAAAGAGTGACACTGAGCTGCAACTAATGATCATGTGGAAAATAATTGGAGGGTAATAGTCATCTAGTGGGAGGATTTTTTTATCCAATGTCTTGGGTTTTCTCAATCTTACTTAATAGGACTGGGATAAACCAGAACATATTCCTGACCCTGATGCCAAAAAGCCTGAGGACTGGGATGAAGAGATGGATGGGGAGTGGGAACCACCAGTAATCCAGAATCCAGAATATAAGGTAAAAATGGCTTGAGTTGCAGCATTTGGTTTACTTCAAAAAATTAAGTATATCATCTTAGAAGCATTTGTTACATTCTCATGTGTAAACTTAGGCTAAATTACTTGAATGTGGAGATGATCTTGAGGGTGGACTCTGAAATGTGAAGAGGGCCTTTGCTCACATGGATTTTTCCCTTAGTGTACAGTTTTGTTGAACTGAATTTCAAGTTTTTTGGTGGAATAGGGCCTTAGCTGCTGGACGTGAGTGAGGGGGAAAAAATCAGATTGGTTTTTTTGGATCTTTTCAGCAAGATGGGTAAATATTGCTTCTTAAGGCATCACAGAAACCACATGTGGAACTTAGAACTGCATCTAAGAAATATGAAAATAGGCTGAAATGCAAAAACAACTGCAGCTATCTCAAGAACAGAGAAGTGGTAGATTTAGCAGTGGTGGTAGAGAAATGTATTTTCTAAATTGTCCCCTGTTACCTAGGCTAAAAGTTTCTCTCCCACTTTTTTCTCTTCTCTTCCTCCCACCCAATTTAATTTACATTGTTGGTATGTCTTGCTAAACTCTTATGCTTATTGACCTTACAGAGAATGTAATCCTAGATACTAAGCCACATTCTAGTGTTGTCTATTTGGCTCTGTTTAATCAACAGTGTTGATCATCGGAGTGTGCAGTTTGAAATTTCTGTCCTTGTGGCTTCTGAATTTTCAATTTCAACATTTATTTCCAGGGGGAGTGGAAACCTCGTCAAATTGACAACCCCAACTATAAAGGAAAATGGATCCACCCTGAGATAGATAATCCTGAGTACACTCCTGAACCTAACCTGTATGCCTATGAGAACTTCGGTGTCATTGGCTTGGACTTGTGGCAGGTGAGGCCATAGAAGGAGGCCAACAGATTGATACCTTTTCTGAAGTGTACCATAAAGCCAGAAGTTGAAAGATGCAATCTATATATAAATTCTGTTCCTCCAAATAGCTAATAGTTCCTCGGGACAATACTTTAAACACTTAATATGACAATGTCAGAAAATAGGTTGTATTAGACTTGTGCTTAGAGTAGACACACAGAAATGAAAGGGACAAGTAAGCCATTACTAACTTGGAACAATTGTTCAGTGGATAAGCTTTAAGTGACTAGATTTCACCAGATGCAGATATAAACAAAGTATATTAAACTATAGAGCACAGATAAAACAGTGTTTGCATAAAACAAAACCACCCTTAGATAAGGATGCAAGTTACCATTGGTTTTTCTCCCATATTTAAATATATTCTATGTAGGAACTTTTTATATTATAATTTCTATGTAGAAATAATAAAGCAAAATGGGAGATACCCTATTTATGAGTGAGCACATATGCTCCAAATGCTTTATTCTGGGTTGGTCATTTATATTCTAAAGATTTGTTTACTCTCAGTGTAATTTTGTTAACTATCCAGTTTTCTATGTAATTTCTATATAATTAAGGCAGATAATGCACCTGTTTTAATAGGCAGTATGTCATTATCCAAAATCAAAGTACTGTATGTGATTGTCCTCTTTCAAGACAATATATATCAAGAATTGCTATCAGTTTTTACTTAGAGCTTATGCTTCTAATGTTTAGTTATTTGGGCCATTTTTAAAGCAACCTATATACCTGCCCTACCTGAGAAAAAGACATGGCTGGAAAAAGAACAGAGAAGGACAACAAAAATAATCAGTGGGTTGATCTGATAACACTTAGAACCCTAAGGAAGCTGATAGTTAAAAGGAAGTACTTTTTAATAGAGTATATAGTAAACCTGTGGAATTTGCTGGCACAGGAAGTGGTGATGGCTGCCAGTCTGGATGGCTTTAAAAAGAGATTGAACAGATTCGGTCTGGATACTGCAACTGGTACAGAATAGAGCTGCCAGGCTGCTGACAGGGACCACCCATTACTTTCACATAACGCCGGTCCTCTACCAGCTCCACTGGCTTACACTTGAAGTCTGGGCCCAATTCAAGGTGCTGGTTTTGACTTACAAAGCCCTAAATGGCTTGGGACCAGGATACCTGAAGGAACAGTCTCCTTATAAGCCCTCATGCCCCTTAAGAGCTATGGGAGAAGCCCTGCTTCGGGAACCCTCTCTAAGAGGTAAAAAAAAAAGTCATCAACTCGGAGTAGGGCCTTCTCTGCTGTGGCACCTGGACTCTGGCATGTACTTCCCAGAGAGGTACACCTGGCGCCAAGTTTATACTCTTCGGCACCAGGGCAAAACCTTTTTATTTAAACAGTATTTTAAAATTTGACAGCTTTCAACCTTCAGTTGCTCTGATTGTTTTGTGATTTATTGTTTTGTTCTGTTCTACTTATTGAAACTGTTTTAATTCTTTTAAATAATGAAAGCTGTCCTGAGATCTTGTATAAGAGGGCGGCATACAAAAGCTTTTAATAAATAAATTCACATGAGAGGAGGCTATGTGCTACCTCCTTTAAAAGAGGGTGCATGCCTGCAGGCTTCAGTTGCTGAGAAACTGGGCAGGAGGATGTCTTGCACCTGCCCTGCTTGAGGGATTCAGTGGAGAGCTGGTTTGCCACCATGTGTACAGAGTCCTGGACTAGATGGACCTTTGATCAGAGCTGGCATGGCTATTCTTGCATTAAACACATTTTGGCTTATTGAAAGTGTTAAGTGCCATTGCTGTTGAGTGTGACTCTTGGATAGTGGAAGGTTGAATCTTCAGGAAGGGGTTGACTCCTTTCCTTGGAAGGCAGAGCTAAACTTTCTTGCATGTCCTTTCCTAAGAGGAAGAACCCCTTAATATTTTGCTGTGTCTTCGAGGAAATGGCAGGATCATTAGCTTGACTCTCAGCTATAGCTGTGGAGCATGAAAAAGTGGACAGAACACTGCCTCAGTCATTAGGCAGCTGTGAAATGGTTTAGATTTTGCTGAATGTCCCTCAGGGTCTACCTGGGCAAAGGTGAGGATATACACCTGTCTGGCAGAATGCCTTCTGCAGTGAACTGTAACAGTCCTATGGTAGTTTTGGAAATCATATTTTTGGCAATAGCCACCATTAGGAATTGGACCTCTTTCAAAAGCACTTTCATTGTGTTCTGTAAATGGTGTTGGTGACAAAATAGTAAATTAAAAATTTTAGTGATCCAGCTGATGGTTGCTTATGAAGAAAGATAGCTTCTTAAATGGCCCATTCATACTAGGGAGATAACGTTGTATGACGTGATTGAGTGTGCGGTGCCTGACAAGCTGTCAGGACATCTAGTTTAAAGTAGGATGGTTGGAGCTCACTGTTGTATTTCCTTCAGGTCATGTCTGGCACAATTTTTGATAATTTCTTGATTACTGATGATGAGAAACTAGCTGAAGAAATTGGCAATGAAACCTGGGGTGCCACTAAGGTGAGACATTTATATTTTTCATACATAGAAAAGGGTCAGCCCTGCTTTTCTGCTTTTCCAAATTCCAACTGTAATTTGTCTTGGTCAACTACAAGCATTGAATGTAAACTCTTATCTACAGCAGCTTTTGAAGCATTGTGAGGGTGGGTTTGGTGGAAATCCCATTGTTTCTGTAAAAGCATGCATGAGAGATCTTGATTTTGAATGCTAAATTTTTAATCCTCCGTCTTCAAAAGTTTTGAGTATCTACCACTCCTATAGGTTATGGCAAAAATGACTCTTCCTGGATGCTCACTGCAAAACACCTCTGATTTTCTAACAGCAGTGTGTTCAAATTGACATTTACTGTTCTACTTTAAAAAAAAATACTTAGTAGTTTGTGTAATCACTTGGTGGAATGGACTAAGGTTCATTCCTCTATTTCCAGTAAGAGCTGGCTAGATTCTAATTAAGACAAAAGTGCAGTGTATGAAGCTGATCGCAGTCCCCCTCATTTTATCTAAAACTGTTTGTATTAACTTACGGGTTTTGGATATGGCGCTTCAGTTTTAGCTTTTCCAACTAGTTGGTAGATTGGTTTTCCATTATGTTGTATTTATTCCAAAGGTATTTTAGGTTAGTAGTAATTGCCACAGATTATGCGTTTTATGAAGTTGGGATATCATGAGAAGGGGGCAGTAATACTCTATAATTATTGAATTACTACTAGTTTTAGACAGTTTATTGCCTAGCTTTGCTTTACTAGACTTTTCAGCTGGTCTTGATTCAAGAATGTGTCTCTAAATTATTGCTAGGATGCTGAAAAGAAAATGAAAGAACAACAAGATGAAGAACAAAGAAAGAAACAGGAAGAAGAAGACAAGAAGAAGAAAGAAGAAGAAGATGAACCTGAGGGTGAAGATAATGAGGAGGAGGAAGAGGAGGAGGAGGAGGAAGAGGAAGAAAAGGAGGAAGAAGAGGAAACAGAGGGTCCACTGAAGGATGAGCTGTGATTTGGGGTTGTTGGGTTGCTTTTGGCTTGAGCCTTGGCCTGGACCTGTACCATGCAGTCTGCTTGGTTTGAACCCAGCTAAGGAGAAGGGATAACAGTAATGTCTCTATGAGACACAAGAACTTTCTTTTTTTATTGGTGTGTTTGTTTGTCTTAACCCCTTTCCCAGATCCCATCAATTATTCATTCATGTGTGTAGAGGGGAACTAGAACCTGCATCCTAAGAAGGCTAATTGTAGGAATACAACCGTTTGAGATTTTGAAGGGGGGGAATATGCCATTGATCCTGTTTTTTTTTTTAATAACTACTTTTTCACTGAAAGTTCATTTCCAGTGGCCCTTTGTAAATGGATATCCAAAAAGCAGAACTCCTCTGTCCTTTTGGAGCTTGTCTTTACCCTCTGTAAGATTCAGGGAGCTTTGGTTTTCATATTTGGGTGGAAAGGTAAGACTTGTTTCTGCCATGTCTCAAATGAAATTCAAGCAGCCAGTATTGTATGCCATGTATAAGGCCAATAATCCTATCATCATAGGAAGAACATGGATAGTAGTAGTAGCTGGGTTCCTAACTGCTGCTGTACACATCAGACAAATCAATCTGCTTCATTTTAAAGTACCAAGATGCAAACTATTTTTTAAAACCTGTTTAGATGGCCTCTCAATTTTTAGCCTATTCTGGTGGGAGTGGGGTCATTCTGGAGCTTTTGCTGGAGGATCAGTGGGGGTGACTAATTTCTGCTTTGTGTTGAAAGTTGTCTTCACAGGGAGCAAGGGATTAAAGGGGGGGGTGCTTTGGAGGCCAGGAGGCAAGAGACTATAACACCACAGGGGGTCATCTCACTTGTTCACATGTGAATGTATGAAAGATTGAAGAAAATTTCTATTAAATTAAACATGTCTGGCCCATAAACTGACTTTTGTGTCTTAATTGCTTCAGTCTGGATGGGAATTGAAGTGTGAGCAGTCAGTTCCTCTCCTGCAGCTTGTTTGATTTTGTTGGCAACAGAAACCAGACACAATTCAGCTGTTTTCATCAGTGTATTGGATGCTAGGAAAAAGTCTGGATAATGCGAATTTCACAAAGCTGTGCTTTGCCCAGCCTCAACTTCAGTCTTCATTTGTTATGAGTGGCTGCTGAGCAGAGAATAAATTCCTGTCCCTGAGAGCTGGGACATGCAATGCACTAATAATTTACAGATAGTTGCAACTACAATCTTGTTTCTGGGAATGTCTTAACTGTCAGGCCTACTTTTCCCACTAGATTAAACAGTCTGTCAGTTCTTCTGTAAAATAAAACTCGCCTGGGTGACAATGAAGTGGTTGGTCCCAACATAATGTGATAGAAGTACAGCCGTTTCATATTGAACTTGGCCATATGAGACACAATTTTATGCTTTGGAAACAGGTGCACAAATTAGCTATTGAAGTACATTTTCCTGCGTCTTCGTCAGAACTAGTTTTAACAGTCCATTGAGACTCAGACTTTCTAGGTAGCTCTGTTCTTCCTTACAAGTGATTAAAATGTGATCGCTATCCAGAGGAAACAAGTAGTTCAGATGTGAGTGGGCAGTCTCAGGTAGCAGCAAAGATGACTCCAGTTTAAAAGCACTCTGCAAAAATGTTTTAAATACAAGATGGCAAGATGTGGAGATTGGGAAGCCTTTGGTAGCTCTTCGATGTAGTTTAAGGTTAGACTAGATGCGATAAAACAATGTGGATCATGGCTGCTGTGTAATGTGAACGTACCTTTTGCAAAATCTTAAAAGGCCAACTTGGTTGTAAACCCTTATGAATTCTGGGTATTACTCATTGGTATACTTTGGGTTACCCTTGTTTATATGCAACAGTAGGTAAACCGCTTAAGAGCTACGCTGGAAACTACTGTCGTTTCCTACCGGTGGCTACCTTGCGCATAACAGCTTCGTCGATGTACGCATCAATTCTTGAATTTCCGTCCTATTAAATACACGCTGCAGCGCAGGGCGCTGTTCACTTGCTGCACTTTTTAGCGCCAAATGGAAACTCTGAGCAAAGCAGAAGCTACGCGGGGCGAATACGGTCCCCACCTTTCTCCGTCTCTATGGTAAAGTGCGCTCGTTCCTTTCCCTGTCACGTGGGAAGGGCCTAGTTGGGAGCGGAAGCGGCGCGACAGTGCGATTAAAATGGCGGCGGCGTGAAGTTGCATGTTGTTGTAGCCCCCCCCTCCCCCGAGTCCGTTGGGAGGAACCTTCAGTTGTTGCCGCCGCCGCCATGGCGGTGACCGTCACCCTGAAAACCCTGCAGCAGCAGACGTTCAAGATCCGAATGGAGCCTGACGAAACGGTGAGCGGCGGCGGGCCCTACTCCCTCTCTTTTTTCTTCTCCCTGACCCTTCTCCCATCTCAAATCTGCAGGCGCATGACTTTGATTCTTGCTTCCACACTGTTCTGTTGTAGCAAGAGTCTTTCGTATTTGTTCAAGATTACTTTGTAGTCGCATCTTTGAAATCCCCTTGTTTTCCCGTTGGGGAGAATCACACACACGTTGTGCTTTCTTGCACAGTGATCTTCAGCTGTTTTGGACTCGGGATCCCCCTTGTTAGCACGACCTACAGTATAGGACCTGCTGTCCACAGAACGTATAAAAAGAAAGCTAGAAAGCAGTCCGCTTTTCCCACTCCTTCCCTCTGTCCACCCCCACACATAGCCCTTGTTATATGATACTCTTAACGTGTTGCTGGCCACTGCTGTACAACTGAATACCTTCATGCTTATTTCACTTAATTTTTCATTTACTATATGGCTCTATAAAGTAAAAACAGTTAACATTGGTGCTTAAAATGGGGCAGCTCCTATTTTCTCTTTCTGCTTCCTCCTTGCTACTTTCTGCAAGTGAGCTGAACACATAAATGCTTATATTCAGCATAAGTTATAGATCTATTTTTGGTCAAGCATAGTGTTAAATCTTTTATTTTAAAATCAATTGGATCTTTGCCCTGTCAGCATAATCTTGGAATTCTGGCCAAACAATTTAAAGTCTTTGGGATTCCTAATCCTGGCTCTCCAGTGCTAATCAGAAGGCTACCTCTGTCTCTGTTATATCTTCCTGTGTTGTAGTATTATACTCATTTGCCTTAATGAAGTGAGGCCTACATTAATCAGATATTAAAGTAAATGATATCCCTTTATATTGTGTGTGTAGTCAGGTGCACATACGTGAAGTGAAGAATTGCTTATTGTGCCTTTGCTAACCTCAGCCTGTTGTGAGTCAAGAGGCATGCCATCATAAGTCAGTGGCTTTGAGTTTGTGCCAGTAAAATACTTCAAACTACTTGGGTAGTTCAAACACCAAACTACAGTGCCAGTTGTTTACCCAGTTGTTAATCTGTTCTTAATGTTCTGTTTTGATTTGAGTTCTAAAATTTGTTATGATTCTGAACTGATCTTTTGGTAATATACAGAAATGTTTGTTTTTGCACAAATGGCACAGTTCTCACTTTGGTGTTGTGGGTACCCAAGTTTCCATGTATGAAATCTTCTAATATCGCAGTTGCCCTTCTTAAGCAGAGATTTCTCACCTATTTTTAGGCAAGATAGCAGTGCCTGGTGTCAGAACCTTAATGAGACTGAGAATGAAATGATTGCGAGCCACTATGATGACCTGGCGCCCATGTATTATTTCTGTGCTTCAGAGTATTGAGCAGTCTAACTGGAATTCTCACACACTATCCCAATTCAGTCTGAAACAACAAGCATGAGGAATCACCAACAATGTAGAGTATAAAAGTGGGCTGCTCAAGAACAGTGCCTCAAGATCCGCATTCAGCAGTTCACACCAAGATCTTTAGCATCTGAATTATTTGCCATAAATTCTAACTTCTGTTTTTCAGTGGACGAGGGAGTATGCAGGGCATTCTGGACAAGTGCTATTGTTCTGTCTTGGATGATATGTACTTTCATGTGTCTCTTCCCTATCCATAATCCTCAGGTCTTGCAGCGCTACAGCAGATGGTCATGTAGAGTTTTTAGTAAGAGTTGTGATGGTCACTCCTTCTCAACATGCCCTTTAGGCAATCCAAAGGCTTAAGATTACTCTTTTTTTCTACTTTGTGTCTAACTGGGGATTGTTTTTAATGATCTGGTTGTTCTGAGGTAACTCCACATTCAGTCTGTCCATCTTTTATTATGCTCCAAAGTATAGTAGCAAATGTAAGAACATTTAGTATTTGTTCTGTGAGTGGCAAGAAGGGTTATCTGCATGAGTTCTGGTGGTCTGAAGGCAAGTTACAAACTTTTTGTTTGGAAAAGTTTCATACCTTGGCCTCTGGACTTCCTCTGACATGTATACCTTTAGAAGTTGGAACTCTTACTTTTGTTGAAGGAAACAATGCAAGATGTATCAAATATGTTTCTTTCAAGTGAGAACTGTTTGAAAGAAAATACCACATTTCTCTTTGCCATACCACTTGCTAAGCTAACTTTCCCTGTTCAAAATAGAAGTTGAGTGAATGACTCCTGAGATTCTGAGAGAAGTGGAACTGTAGCTAGAAGGAACGAAAAAACTGTACTTGCCTAAGACAAGACACATCCACCCAGTGTTGGATGGATGTTTCACCCTGTTCAGATACTTACAAATACTTGGTGTGGATTTATGCAAGAGATCCAGTTCCTATACTGCAGGGCATATCAACCTTCTCCCCTTGCTGCTCTACTTAATCTGTCTTTGAGAAAGTTCCTAACTCAAATCTAAATTCCAGTGCTATTTCTGACTACCTATATTGCTGGCCACATGACCACGGAGACTGTCTACGGACAAAATGCTGGCTCCCTCAGCTAGGAAATGGAAATGAGCACCGCCCCCAGAGTCAGACATGACTGGACTTAATGTCAACGGGAAACCTTTACCTTTACCTTACCTTTATATTGACAGAATGTTGCTTGTGCTTCTTATCAATGAGGGACTTTAAAAAGTTTTAATTTGTATTTCTAAATCTTCCAAATTCTGCTGAAGCAGAATTACTTCTTATTAACAGATGATGCCGATGGTAGTTTAGATAGGCTTTTAAATCAAGTTTCCTGAGGTGTAGGGTTCCACTGCAAATGCAGGAATGCAGTTCATTCTCTTGAAAGAAGTTGTGTACTCTCTTACTTGTTATTCTGGAGGCCCTAGTTTCCTTTGGGTGTAGGAATAAAAATGTTGGAATGACCATGGAGTAGGTGTCCACCTTGGCCTTTTGGGAAAGGGGGCGGCACAAGACAGGTCAACAGGTTCTGATTGCCTAATGGTGCTTAAAAACCAAGGCCATTCTGAAGCCATTTCTTACCAGTAGGAATTAATACAGTTCTCCAAAGAATAACAGGTATGAAACCACATTGTTGAAGGATTGGGAGGGCGGTTCTTTTAAGTTATGTTCCTCTGTGCTGAATGGGGAGTTAACAGTGACCTCTTGAGGACCATCTGTCTCATTAATAAATGCTTTTGTCTCACAGGTCCGAATTCTTAAGGAGAAGATTGAGGCTGAAAAGGGCAAGGAAGCCTTCCCAGTATCAGGCCAGAAGCTTATCTATGCTGGGAAGATCCTGAGTGATGATGTCCCCATCAAGGAGTACAAGATTGATGAGAAGAACTTTGTTGTGGTGATGGTCACCAAGGTATGGCTAACCAAGCCTTTGATTCATAGCTATGCTTTTCCTATGGCAAGGGCTGGTTGTGCTACAGCAATTCACCTCTGTTGTGGTGATGTGCTGGAAAATGTACACTTTGAAAATGTTTCGGATGGTCCAGATATTAGTCCAGTAGCTGCTCCAGGACTGGGAATGGGGAGCCAGGAAAGTTGATCAGAGGCAGGTTGCAGCTGGTTCACTAGTAACTTGAAGGCCAGTCTCCTTGGCTTACTGCTGTGCACTTTCCGTGGGGTAGAAATTTATTGTCTCTCCTCCTAAGGCTTTTTTTCCTGTTAAGAACAAAACAGGCTCAGGAGCTCCTGCACCCTCCCCCAGTGATGCAGTGCCCACCTCAGAGCTCTCTCCATCCTCTGGGCAGACAGTCCTGCCTACAGCAGCTACTATTTCACCCCCACCAGCAATTCCATCAAGTGATGAAAAGCCTTCTGAAGAAGCAGTGACTATTTCCTCTTCAGAATCTGTAGTTGGGTAAGTTCACTTTGCTCCCTCTCCATCACAAGCCTCAGTATTTGTAGGTGACTGGAGTGATATAAAGGAGGAAGAGATTTTAGGCCCAAGAAGTAACAGCTGGTTCTGAAGATAGGAGAAATTGTAGCCTCATTGTTTATATTTTGGGCTGTTTGAGTAACCGCGTTGGGGAATTAAGGGCTTATGTAGGCGATGCTTAGGCATAGAATTAGGCCAGCTAGTAGTAGGTTAATGTGTTCCTTTGGCTATAAGATTTTGTTCTAAGTTCTTAATGGGGAAACTGTACTTTTATATGTGACGCGTCGATTGGTTTTAAAAGCAGGACTGCAATTCCCATAGCAAAAACCCACCATAGAAGTGGCTTGTGTCCTTTGCACAGAAAGGAAGTATATGGTCCATTGACCTCTGGTAGGGTCTCAGCTGTGAAGAGGGTGAAGGGAAAGTTGCAATAAGTCTATACAAGCACATGATTTTGTGGCAGGCTGCCCTCCTAGCCACTGTTGCCTCTTAGCATAGTGCTTTGAGTCCAGCAGTTCCACTCTGCTCCTCACAAAGGCATACCCTTGAATTGTACTGGTAATACAAGCACAGCAAATTTCTATGGTGGTGATGACAATCTTTAGATGTAGGTATTGCTTGCTGATCATGAGTAATGGGAATATGAGAGTGTGTGTGTATGAGAAATCACCCATTCTCTTGATTAGATCATCTTTGGCTCTTAATTTTCTTGTTAATTTCCTTGCTGGAAGGACCCAGCTACTATTTCTCTCTCTTAAATTTGCAGCTCTGTTCCCTCTTCAGGTAGCGTGGGACGTGAAGATGATGCAGCCTCCACCTTAGGTAGGTGAGCGCCTTTCTTCTGCTTGCTATGGGGGAGAGCTCTCAGCTGCTCTTTTATGACTGAGGCCATTCTACCCCTTTCCTTGACCGCTACATTTCCAGTGTCCAAGATCCATAGCTGGCTTCTTGAGCACAGGAAGGCGTCGCTTAGGTGGTGCTGCCCTCTGATGGTCACCACTGGTTAAAACACTTGTGCCTCTGCTCTGTGGATGGAGAACCAGCATACAATGAGCAATTGGTTTTCACTTGCTATGTTGGGATCCTGAAGTGGGTTGCAGGCAGAGAGGGAAGAAAGTGAGTTCTCTATGGCAGGTGGGAGTTAAAATCCCTGAATCTAGAAAGGATGAAGAAGAATGTTTTAGTTAAAGCTGCTGTTGGACAATTCACTTCATCAATGGAAATAGTTCAGTGGATCTCACTTCAGTCTCTGTCACTGATATCTTGGAAGCTGAAATCCCCACTGGAAGGTTGAAGCAGCCTGCATGACCACCCTTTGTGGAAGTTACAGAGCAAGAACGGCCAAAATGGCCTGTTGCCTTCTAGTCAAACCGCCTCTCTTGTTCTCTTTCCCCTATGCAAGAATTAGGTAGAAACAGTAATGTCAGAATTTTCTTTAATGCAAAAGTGTCTTCTTCTGTTTCCAGTTACTGGCTCAGAGTATGAGACAATGTTGACTGAAATCATGTCAATGGGATATGAGCGAGAGCGGGTGGTGGCAGCACTTCGGGCCAGCTACAACAACCCTCACCGAGCTGTGGAGTACTTACTAACGGTGAGGAGAATTGTTGGGCTTGTCTTGTTTCCACCTAGATAACTGGGGTTGTCTTCCACTTCTATGATAGGTGTGTGATTTTGGCAGTCTTTGAAACCATACCTTCCTTTCATTTCACTACGTTGGTAAACTTTTGGTGTTTTTGGCTGTCTGCTACCACATTTCTGTTTCTGGCTTGAATCGCTTGAAAAAAAAAATAGGATCAAGCTTTCTGGACCATGTCAGACAGGCCCCTTTGAAAAGTAACCACATAGTGGGTTTCCAGCTCCATGCACATCCCTTAATCCCATGTCCTCTCCACCAGAATGATACAGAAGACTATCAGGTGTCAACCAAAGTACTTGTGTGTCTCAACACATGTACAGGTAGCTGATTAGCAGGAAGGATGCCATATGTCAGGGCTGACTCTCTTGAGTGGGGTGCAAAAAGGAGGGTTATAGTGTAGCCTTTCAGAACTTTAGTTCTGCATTAATGCCGTGTGATGTAAGCTGACTTAGCTTTGTGCTTTCATCATTATTATTTTTAATCCTCTCCTCCACTAACCTCAGCCAGATTGTAGCAGGCTGCTGAAGTTCTCTCCCCTCAACAAGTCCCTTGTGGCATTCTTTGTGGGGGAACTGCCTCAGCAGATTGGGTTTAGTTCTTGCTGCAGAGACATCTGGTCTCATTATGAACCCATAGAGAGTGTTGGTAATCTGTTCTGTTCCAGAGAGAGCTGATCTTGATTGGAAGTAGCAATTGGTACTCTGCGGCTTGGGGTATGTGGTAAAACTAATTTTTCCTTGCTGCATGGCAGGTCACTATAGCTGCCTGGCTTTCCTTGTACTTGATGTCTCCTTGTGCTGCATTTGGGAGAGGCTACCATGTTACAAATGGTTATCTGAGGCCACTGAAAATAGAAAGGAAAAGAAGAAGATATGTGAAAAGCCTGGGACCTGTTGATTTGCCTTTTAAAAAAAATATTCTTTGTTCAACATTCATGGAACAAACTGGAAAAGAGAATTTGCAGTCTCACAAAATTTAAGATCAAAATGAGAGCAATTAGTAAATGTAAGCAGATGTTTCCTTTGTTGCATCCCATTTGCCAGTCAGAGACCTCACACTCCTTTGTGACCCAGAGCCTTTGGCTCCTTGTATTCCCAAAGGTCCTGTGCAGTTATGACCCCTTCGGGAGTAGGCATGCTCTTGAGGAGTACTGGCACTTGGGCCAGACTCTATTAAGCCAACATTCTCTGGTCAGAATATGGTAGCAGTACTTGCAGAAATGGATGGTTTGTGATTTTATTCATTCTTTCATCATTTGAGGGATGAAACATAATAATACAAGAATGAACAAAATGAATAGGCAATAGATGTGATGGAAGTGTGACAGGAGAAGAAAGAGGGAAGTAAAGAGAGCTGGAGCACAAATTTTCTCCTCTCAGCATAAGAAGCTCTTCCTACCTAGTTTCTGAGCCAATGATAGAACTGGAATTCAGTTTTGAAACAGTCTGAATGAATTTCCACAATTCTGAACAGAAGTGATGTGGGATACAAAATTTTATTTGGGATACTGAACTTAATTAGTGTGTCAACAGTTTTCAATACCGTACTTCCTCTTAAATTTAAACCATGTAAGAGAAGTAAATTTTATTCTCCTTATTTTTTTGCAAGTATTCCAATAAAAATGCTGTATAATATAAAATTTAGATTGCATTAAGTCTTTGATTCGTCCCCTTCAGATAATAATCTCAAGGGCATAAGCTTTTGTGATAAAAATAACATTGGCTAATTTTTAAAACTTTGTTTGCTAAATACATGTTACATAAGCATACTAAATTAGATTCAGATTCTTTTGGGCAGTGGGCAACCCATGGCCCTCCAGATGTTTTAGCCTATAACTTAGGTCAGCTGTTGCCAGCATAGCCGTTAATGAAGGGTGATGGGAGTGGTAACCAAAACATCTGCTCTAGGATATCAAAATATTTTCTGATGGAAGCCTATGCAAATAAGCCTAATTTGGTTTGGAATTTTTCCTAAAAATGTTTCTAATTCAGAGTTCTTTGGAAAATGCACTCCATTGTCCACCAGTATCCTCAGTAATGCAGTCCATAACAAATCAGTTGATTCAGTCATGGGCATGTGCTATTCTCTAGTCACTTGTACCAGTTGAAATAGGTGCTGGAGGATGGAAATTGTTCCATTAGCTCTGCTTTCTTTAACTTTGCAGGGTATCCCAGGTAGCCCAGAACCAGAGAGTGCCCCCATTCAGGAGAGCCAGCCTCAAGAGCAGTCAGCACCAGAGGGTAGGTTGCCTTTCCCAACTTCCTGGAGTGGGTAGTCTTTGGGAAGTAATAAGATAACTAGGCCTAAGGGACTACTGTCTGGTGTGGTGGGAGGATGTTGTCCTTAGCGGAAGACTTAAAGGCTCATTCACTTGTACATTCTTCATACACCCCAATCCTCTCTCATGTTTGCTGTCATTTTGGTTGGGTGCCTGCCATTATCACCACTTCGGGCCAACAGGAGAGAATCCTCTGGAATTTCTACGAGACCAACCCCAGTTCCAGAATATGCGACAGGTGATCCAGCAGAATCCAGCCTTGCTCCCTGCCCTGCTCCAGCAGTTAGGCCAAGAGAACCCTCAGCTGCTGCAGGTAACTGGAATGACTGGGCCTTGTCAGTCAGTGGGGCACAGCACTGCCTCAACCCTATGAGTCGAAGTTATATGGGTCTGGGAGAAATGTCTGGGAAGGGACCCCTCAGGTAAAGTGCAGGAAGTATGTTGTAAGCCGCCCCGAGGCTTCGGCGAATGGGGCGGCATAAAAATGTTTTAATAAATAATAAATTTAATAATAAATAAGTATGTCTCCTTGTATTCTTGTTTGGACTGCAGCTGAACTAAGAGGCAACCATAGCATAGATGTCTACCTTATCCCTCACTAGACAGTACTTTGTGCACAGTTATGTACCCTGTCTTGTTGGCTGTGACCAGTAGACTCTTGCCCTACTTTTTTGGATGGGTCTTTGCTTCCCAGGGCTTCCTCCTTTAAAGGATATTGTCATTCTTCCTGCCTCAGCTTCCTGTCCTTGTTTTGTCTTAATTATACATGGATAAGCTCAAATTGCATATGCAGTTTGTGTTGGAGCTCGGAAGGAGGATCATGAGGAGGGCATAGCTGAAGATCAATAGCTAAGGCTTGGGGAGTGAGATGCAGGAGGAGAGGGCAGGGCAGTTCTCTCTTCACGCTTCCTACCATGTTAAAGACTTTCCTTGAAAATCCTTTTGTGATGTCGCAGGAGCTCTATTACAAAGAGGATTATGCATGTGCATACATTTGTAAACTATTCTGAGAATAATGCGCTGAGAAAATGTTATATAAAAATCTTAAATATTTCCCCTTGTTTTCCCACATGCACAAGCAATACTTAGTTACACTTATTCCTCCTCTTCTTTTTCCAGCAAATCAGCCAACATCAGGAGCAGTTCATTCAGATGCTCAACGAACCTCTGGGTGAAATGGCTGACATCGCAGATATTGAGGGGGAGATGGGTGCTATTGGGGAAGAAGCCCCTCAGATGAATTACATTCAAGTCACGCCTCAGGAAAAAGAAGCCATAGAAAGGGTAAAAGTGCTGGATTGGGAGTAGTGGCCTGGGTCAGGGTCAAGAAAGGGAAGAACCCAGGGCACTTCTTGTTCTCTCAGCCAAGAGCTTCTGCTCACTGGGATTGTTTTGGAAGACATGGAGCTTCCCTGTGTGGCATAGAATGGTTTTGTGGCTAGAGCAGTGGCTCTACTTGTTGCTTTACTTTTTGTAGCAAGATGTCATGGTGGCTAGAGTTGATGGAATGGGACTCGAAATTCACCTTGTCGGGGGTCTTAAGCACACCCTGTGCATGCACAAGAGCCTGCTGACAGCACCAGAGCTTTATGGCCACTAGTACCATTTGTTTGGGAATATATGATTGGAATGTGGCCTCTGAGGATGCAGTGCTTCTGCTTTTTGTTTTTGTTGGACAGGTATGGAATGTGTGGGTCTCCAGATGTTGTTGGATTGCAGTACTCATCAGCCCCAGGCAGCTTTGGTGAAAGATGATTGGAGCTGCAGTCCAAGTAACATTTGGAGGGCTACATGTTTTGCTCTTATCTAAGACAAGCTCATTGTAGGTAGGGTTTTCTATATTTTTCTCCCCCTTGCCCCATTGCAGTTGCAGAACCTTCAGAAGAACTGTTACAGTGCAGTTGCATTTAGAAGGCTACAAATCCCCTCTCCAGGGATTTTAGATCCAGAGTGGTGCATAATAATTTTTTAAAAATAAAATAAATAATCCAATTTGGTGCCAAGGAGAGAAGTTTTCTTCAACTACATTATTCAAATCAACATTCTAAAAGATAGACATCCATATATCGCTGATCACTTGCACCCTTCTAAAACTGCTATTAGACACATACAGAATTTGGATGGAGTAGTATTTTGGAAATGAGCTGGATGCTTACAGGAGGAAAACAGGAGAAATTGGAGTATTCCAGATGTCAAGAGGCTGGGAGAGATGGGCAGCCAGGGGGAACCACTGTAGCATGATCACTGGTGCTGCTTGTGCTCTTCCAGGAGAAGGTGTAGTTTGGGAATTCAGATACCAAATCAGATGTCATATCCACCAAATCTGCAGAATTGTGGGCAGTTGACACTTGAGCTAAACTTACAAAACAGCAGCTACATCCTCCTGCTCTATCTCTTGCGGTGAGGAATATTGCAGAGTGGTTGTGGTCCTTGTCTTGGTATTCCTGCCTCAGACAGGAATTGTCTGAGGTCTCTCATAAGGGGCTGTGCATTTTCTTTACATGGGCCATTCTTTGCCGTAATTACTGGCAGCTGGTTCCTTATAAGAACATTTATATTGCAGGACACCTGGGGTTAGGTGTTGCCTATTAAAAGATCTTTAACTTTTCTTTCTCTACTTTCTCTCTCTTTCTCTTTCTCTCTCTCTCTTTTCTCTGTGATTGTCTGTCTCCCCATCCCACAGTTAAAGGCCCTGGGCTTCCCTGAGAGCCTGGTGATCCAGGCATATTTTGCTTGTGAGAAGAATGAAAATCTGGCGGCCAACTTCCTGCTGAGTCAGAACTTTGATGACGAGTGATAAAGGAAAAGAGTTTTATATAAAATCCTCTATATAAATATTCATTTATTTAAAGGGGCACTACTAGGGTTGGGGGTGGTATGAATTTAGAATGTCCCAGGCAAATTACTGGCTGGAGGAAAATACTCTACCTTGGAAGCTGGGCAGTTGGCGAAAAAACAGAACAAACAGACCTTCTCCCACATACTCCCCTAAAACAATGCCTGCATTTGATCCCAGGTGCATCCCATGACAGTCCTTGGGCTGGCAGGCAGGATGTTCAGGGGAAGAGTGAAACAGCAGATGGGTTCTGTTGGACCTTCTCCCATCTGAGGGGATTGCGTATGTTCAGGCAGATTGCTCTTTTGTTTGCAGATTCCATCCTCCCACTGCCAGTGTACACTACTACAATGACTAAATATCTCTATGCCCATTGGCTAATTCTGTCAGTAGTATTATCCCCTTCAGTTTCCACCACTGCCCTTTGAAACAAGTCCAGCTGTCCATCCCTGTTCCAGAGTGCTCCATGGGTGACTTGCCTTTCAGTGAACATTTTGATAGTTCTTCCTGCATTGAAGAGGCTGTGCTGTGGTGGAGGAATAACTTGTGATGATGTACAAAACTTCAGCACATTTCTTTACTCTGTCTTTCTCTGTTAGGCAGCCACTTACCCTCTACTTGCAGCTTCCAGACACTGTCGTTAAATTCATTCTCAGAAGACATCTTGGAAGTCAGGGCCGGAGAACAGTTGCACTTGGATCCAGCCAGATTCAAACACTGAGGCCCTTTCACTGTTTAAACTTTTCCCTCTTCCTTTGACATCTCAAGTTTTCATCCAGCAGCTCTGCAGAACTAGAGATGTGTTATGATTGTCTTTAAAGTTTCGATTCTTAAGTAAGGTTAAACTTCCATATAAGATTGCTTAGTATATTTTGAGATTTAACATTAAAATTTTGGAACCTGCAAGCCTAATGCAGCAGTAAAAAGAGGAATGGGTATTTGCAGCTGAGTCTCTTCCTTGGAGCAAAAGTCCATTGAATGAAACCCCATTTTGAAAGTGTTCTGTATTGTGGAGGTTTTACAGAAACTAATATTTTCTAATATGAACCTGTTCAAAAGATTCTTCTATTTTAAAGACCATTTTTCTTTTCTTAAAACATTAGCTGGGATACAAATTTGTGTATTAGACATTTTGCAGATTTTACTTTTTAATTTTGAAAAAAGGTAAAATTAACAAATTTGCACAAACATTCTTTATAGGAAAATGTGTAAAAAAAATCCTTTTGGTGTACTTTTTAAAAACTTGAGTTTGAGCTGTGACTACACATGAGCATATCCTGATTAATCTCAGAAAAAGGCTGATCTAGTCTATGACTCTCAATCCCTGGCAACCAGTGGAATTGGTTGGGCAGGTATGAAACTGCAAAGTCTCCCCAATTTAGGTCAATCATCACCTTTATGCAGGGGAGTTGGTAAAAGTTGTTTGAGTTGAACACCAATAAAACTGTCAGTTATCATCTTTTAAATGCCAATTTCCTTTGATAAACCATGAAATTGACTGTTGCCTCTCTTCCCAGCACCCCGGTAACAAACCTGCCTGGGAGTCCCACTCTTTCCTCAGCATATGCCCTCTCAAAGAGAACCAGAGTATTGCCTCTATGCCTCAAAAATAAATTCTGAAGCCATAAGTTACTGCTAAACTGTGTGATATTGTTGTGTGACGATAACTGACAGTGTGCAATATGTTTTAAATAAGCTAAATTGATTTGATTTCAAGGAGAATGGTGGTGGGGACTCCTCCTCAAATGAATTTCCAGTGATTAAAGGGTGACTCCAGGTAAGGCCAAGGGTATAGGACAGGGACCCTCAAACTTTTTAAACGGGGGGCCAGTTCACTGTCCCTCAGACTGTTGGGGGGCCGGACTATAGTTTGAAAAAAACATGAATGAATTCCTATGCACACTGCACATTAAAAATAATTAAAATTAATTAAAATTTATTTTTAAAATGTTTGCTCTGCTTGCTCGGGCTACAGCAGAAGCCCAAGATGATGCCATGCCACCTGCCAAAAGGAAGAGCAGGACACGAGGGGGAGCCATGAGGGTGCGCTCGCCTCAGTCGAGGCCTTTCCTGCTCCTTGCTGCCACCCCACTTCCGAGCCAGAGGAAGGTCTCCTTGCAGGTGCTCACCCAGCTCTGGGAGGGGAAGCGGGAGCAGGAGGTTGGAGAGGCGAGCATGGGGCGGCTCCCCCAGCCAGGAGAGGGCTGTGAGGAGGGAGGTAATGGCTGCTTTCCGGGGGCCGAGGCAAAGGGAGGCGAGGGACGGGGCCGTGGCCAGCTGAGTGGGGTGCCTCCCACCTCTCCCCACCATGGGGGGAAGAAGCATGGCGGCCTCTCGACGGTGGTGGCACCTTGCCCTGAAAAGGCCACGGCAGAGGGGCAGGAGCCACGGCCCCGCTCCACCTTGGCCCGTCTGCCCCTGGGCTCGGCGAGGTGGCCATGGCTTGGCCCACAGCCTCATATTTTTGTGGTTAAAAAAAAAAAACACGGATTAACCTTATTACATATAATTTTATGGGAATATTTGATTATATTTTTCTTCTATCTTTTTTTAGTGTTTTTGTCTCTCTCTTCCCATCGCCCTCCTCTCTTATGTTTCACACTCCATATTCCCACTCTGTATTAAGAGCCAACGCATGTGTGCGATAGGGGGAAGAGCTGGCGCACACACAGTTGAAGAAAGCTATTACAATTTGGCACGTGCACCGGCTCTCTTCTAGGCTCCGAAACTGAAAGAGTTTCAGAGAGTGCCTGGGCCGGGTCAGAGCTTTCAGACTCGTTCAGAGATTGTTTTCTCAGAACGAGTCCAAAAGCTCTGAGGCGGGCCAGGTAAATGACCTTGGTGGGCTGTATCTGGCCCGTGGGCCATAGTTTGAGGACCCCTGGTGTAGGACCACTTGGTTTGGTAAGTGAAGCTACTTTTTTGCCTGTGTCAGAATGAAACCAGATCCATTGGGCTATGGCCATTCTTGAGGAATGGTGTTGCTATAGCTTGTGGCTGACTTCCGGATACTGTTTGAAAGCTTTCTGAAATGGCTCTTCTATCAGACCTTGCAACTTGCCTTAGGCCTTCAGACGGCATTGTAGAACTCCTTGGGTACTAAGCAAACCTGAGTAGCTGTTGCTGCAGTGGCACTTTTTTCTAAGTGGGAGTCAATATGTCTAAATGCCTGTTTGACCTGAACAACCCACTTTTAACTTCTCAGTTAACTTCTCAGCTGAAGAATACTGCTGATGACTTCTGGCTTTTTTCAGAACAGGAGCAGTTGAATGTTGCGGGTGGATGCTTAGGGTTGGATGCTGGATTCTGTGCTTGAGATGCTGGGATTTAGAGGGTGAGCACTTGAGTGATCTCTATAGCTCCTTGCCTGTCAAATGAGGCAAGCTTGCATTATTTGCAAAATGTGCACACAACACAATTTAATTGCTTGACAGAGAATGTTCAGGCAGACATACTCATGCTCACTTGCAGTTTCCTAGATGGTGAACCTTTGATGAAAAACAAACAAACCTGCAGCTGCTTGCTTTACCCAGTGTAGCTGGAGAGACCTAGAGCGGAAAGAGCAGCAGCAGTTCTCAAAAAGCAGTTTCAAACCTGTTTTCTTTAAAAAAAAGAGCAAAGGCCTGCTGATTTATAGCCAGACACACTTTCAAAAAGTTGGTTTGGGGGCTCTACCTAATTATAAGCACTATTCCCTCTCCCCTCAACTTTTCCTTTGGCCTGTGTTGGGTTGGAAAGTTCTCTCTGTCTCAGGTTGAAATGTTCTGGGCACTGTGAATGGAGTTTGAAATAAACAAGTTGTTGGGGCCACTCAAGTGGCAGGAAAGAATGTAGGTTTCTTTCAGTGAATGTGTCTGGCTCTTTGTTTCCCAATGGGAAGGGAGGGTTTGGAGGGGAAGAACGCTGAGCACGAGGTGAAGAGTAGCTCTTGTAAAGCACAAGAAACATCTGATGTGATGTTTGAAAAAGTTGTTGGGGGGATACTGGTTTAGCTGCAGGAAAGTAACACATTTGCAATATCTAATTTTTGGCAAACAACTTTGTACAAGGGAATGGAGGTTGAAAGGCACAAAGTAGGGTCCATGTGCAAATAGCTGAAATGTTCTGCAATGCAGACCTCTGCCCATTTCCAGAATACTGCTCTTGTTTCTGGTTCTCTGCAGAGCCAGAGTGGTCTAGCTCATCTGGTGTGTACCCTCTGCTTGCAATTTTGCATACACTTCGTTGGTCATCTGTCCACATAATGGCTTCTCTGGTCATCAGCAACTGTTCAGAAAAGTGGAGATTGTGCCTGTCAGTTTGGATACTGCTCTGTTGAAACCTCCTGTGTGCGCCGTGTGTAGGGCTGACTTGTTAAAATGGGTGCTCTTGTTGCCCAGAGAAACTTGGCTGGGAGCTGAATTCTCAGTTGGATGGCAGGGCTCTGACCCCTTCGAGCAAAGTATGATTAATGGCAGGTGTCCTGCAAGCCACAGTCCAGGCCCAACTTATTCATTTCTTCTTATTGTTTGGAGTATCTGTATATCTGTGTTTGGGAGGTGAGGCATTTGCATGCATACACACACATCAGCTGTCTTTTGACTGCCTCTTCTCAAATTGGCTAAGTACTTGAGATTAATGCTTAGAAGCAGCAGCTTCCTCTCCCCTCCTGCCATCTGCTCTTTTCTGTATGAGGCATATCATCTGCCAATGCCTGGATTTTCTTTTCTAGATTTGACCCCAGCTTCATAGCTTTAACCTTATGGGGGACTGCAGTGTGATCCAATTGCAGGGGCTGATGTTAGAACTTGACTAAAGGAAGATCCAACAGAACAATTCTTTTTATGAGAAAGAATGCAGAGTTTTTAATGTAAGAGGGTGAATAGACTAGATATGGTCTCTAGACATAATCAATTGCACTAGTCAAGCCACAGGATTAGAAAGAACTTTGAGATCATCTAGTCCAGGGATGGATAGCTTCTTTCTGATTGAGGGCTAAATTCAGGTTCCAAGAAACTCTCAGGTACGAGTAGGGCCAAAAGTACAAAATAATCCAGTTTATTGTAGTTTAAAGCTCTGACTGTTAGTAACTCAGCATTGTGGCCTTTTGGAATGAGGGAAAATGTGCAAAAGCTGGGGAACCACCAAAGTATTGGGGGCAGGGAAGCTGTGGCAGGAGGCCTGGAGGGACCGATCCAACCCCTGGATCCATGGTTCTCCACTCTTAATCTAGTTGGGCCTCTGCTTATGCTAGGCTTCTCCTTAGACTTAGTGAAGGTAATAGTCCTGTGTTACTAAACCAATATTACTAGTCTTAAGCAGCAGCTATAAAAATGTGCGAGAATTACCTGCTCTGCTCAAGAAATAAGTTGCTGAAATGTTCCATACTGGCAAGAAACCTTGAGAATCTGTAAGCAAGTGAATGGGCATGGATTGTGAGCAGCAGTGGTGATATGAAGTACCACTTTCCAATTGATCACTTAAGGCTTTCCTAGAAAGTTGCAGTGAGAATTAAGTCAAGGGTCCTTGATTTAAATGTACCTTTGCTTCCTTGGGATACAAAAGTTAGTTGGTCAGCTGATGACTGAGTGAATTTTTAAAGCTCTGCTTTACTAATAAGAATAGTCTTTAAGTGTCCTTCATCTGAGGAAACACTGCCCTGGACTTCCAGGTGCTGCACAGAAGTAACCAAGGAGATGTACCTGCTGAGAGTAAGACACTGATGTGTGCTTTGTCATGGCTATACCAATTTGTTCTCTTTGGCAGGTAGCAACTAAATGTGTAGGGTCTTGAGCTCATATATGTAACTTGATGTCATGTCAAAGGGCCCTTTGCTTTGCTTTGCTTTGCTTTGCCTTTTTTTTAAATTGGCTTACCATACTTGATCCTGAGAATAGATGAGAGCTGGCTGCTGATGGAAGAAGCCCCACGGTTCAAACTGAAGAGAAAGACACTCAACTGCTTGAAATATGGCTAGTAGGTTGGGGAATGCATGTCAGGTGTAGAGGTGGCTGCCCTCTTGCCCATTAGGTGAGTGCTGCCAAGTCAGTGGGCTACTACCAGGCACTTTGCATGGTGAGGAGTGAATGAAGGGAAAAAGCTTGATGCTTGCAGGAGCTCCTGCTAGCCCTTAGCATGCCCCTCCCCATGTGGAAGGAACCAGTATTCGGGGACAAGAAGAGTTTTCTTTTCCCCAGTCATCTGTGGGTCAGAGGTTGGAGGTTTCTCTTTTTCCTGTAATACAGTGTAACCTAGTATCATTTATAACTACTGAAGCTGCACTGAGGTTGAAGGACCCATTCAGGCTGAAGGCACAAAAGGTTTTGATTTTGGAATCATGGAAGCCATTTTCACTGAGTGTAAAGAAAGGAGAATAGAGCCGAGATGCATCAGTAAAATTTGAATATTGGCCAATTTTCCAGTATCAATACTGCATACTTTAGTAATTTTAAAGCCAAATTTGGGTTTGGATTTTGAATGAAATTTTAAACTCAAAATATGAATGTATGAGAATTGGAATTGTCAGGATGTCTCAAGTTACCAGCCAAGAGAATGTATGCTCAGATTTCATAGGGAGACAGATTTTGTAGCAAACCTCAGCAATTTTTTAGATTGAGCAGTGCTGCCGGATAGAGGCTGAAACAAACTACAAGCTTTTAGAACATATACAGAGTGTTTGATAGGTTCTGGGACACTGTACACAGCAGCAGGGCAGATGATGATGAAATAATGGGGACACCATAAAAAAAACAGAGATCTGCAGAGGGGACTAACACAATAGCAATGCTGATTACAGAATATTGGCATAAATCAGGAAGGCAGGGATGATTGTGGGTTTTGGTTGTGAATTAGAACATGTAAATTAGGGTGACTGCAAAAACAAACCAGCTAGAAAAAACCTGTCTGGCCCCCTATCAGTTTTGTTTGGTGTTAGCACAAGAATAGATGGGTTAACTTTCCTTGGGAGCCTCCTTTCTGCAAATGCTTTTGCAATTTAATGTACCATATTTTTCGCTCTATAAGATGCACTTTTTCCCCCCCTCAAAGGTAAGGGGAAATGTCTGTGCATCTTATAGAGCAAATGTGTGTGTGCCCGACGCCCAGGACGCTGCCGGCCCGCCTGCACCATGTGGCACCACCTGGCTGGCACGCGCTCGGCACGCACTGCTCCGCCCGCCCCCCTCCGGCGCAGGTGAGAGCTGTGCCACTCAGGGGGAGCGGTGTGGAGGAGGAGGAGCCGCGGGCTTTAACCCGCCGGCCGCACGGAGAGACGGACTGCTCACCCCCACCGCCCGGGAAGACCTGCCGCGGAGGAGGAGGAGCTGCGGGCTTTAACCTGCCGGCCGCACGGAGAGACAGACTGCTCACCCCCACCGCCTGGGAAGACCTGCCGCGGAGGAGGAGGAGCTGCGGGCTTTAACCCGCCGGCCGCACAGAGAGACAGACTGCTCACCCCCACCACCCGGGAAGACCTGCCGCAGAGGAGGAGGAGCCGCGGGCTTTAACCCGCCGGCCGCACGGAGAGACGGACTGCTCACCCCCACTGCCCGGGAAGACCTGCCGCCGCCGCGCCGCCCGGAGAACCACCACTGGCATGCTGCCGGCCCGGCTGCACCACACCTGGCCGGCACACGCTCGGCACACCCTGCTCCACCCCCTCCTCTGGTGCAGGTGAAAGCTGTTAATCACAGGTCGGTGTGTGTTTTCAAATGGCAACCCATCTTTTAATGAAGCCCATGGGGAAGTGATGGGGAATGTGTCTGTGATTATCAGGAAGCTTTCCATGGATCCCTCCTCTAAAAAGTAGATGCGTCTTATGGTCAGGTGCATCTTATAGAGCGAAAAATAAGGTAGTAGCTGCTCTCAGGCAAGCTGAGAGTTCCAGTCGCTTAAGCAGCTTGCTGATAACAATGCTAAACAGAAGCCTGGCTTGGAATTCCGATTCTTTGGTGGTGGGGTAGGGATACTGCAGGTTCGATTTTATACCACCAAGGCACATATAAGCAACCTTTTTTTATAAGGATTTATCTGAATTTTCTCAACAGTATGCTTTTAAGTAATGTTTTATTGTGCATGACCTCATTCATCGGAGCTAACTATCTGTGGCTTCTCAGCTACCTTCTGGAAAACCTTCTTTTGAAGGGTTATCAGGCTTTCCAAAAAAGAAGAAAAGCCAAAGTGCTTTGCCAAACTACTGATCTTCATGTGCAGTGATGGGGTTATTGTATTACTGAGCACATAATCAGTTCACAGTAGGCAATGGGGGGACCAGCTGTGGCCCATGTGCAGTGAAAACACACTTCTTGAACATGCCCCCATGTCCTCACTGAGCACAGAGCAAATGTTAATGTGGAAAGTTCTTTCCTTAGAGGTAGATCATTTTAAAAAGTGCTGTCACTTGTGTGTTGGCCATAAGTACAAACGAATAGAAAAAAAAAGATTCTATGTTAACTATCAAATACTGCAAAATAACCAACTTTAAAAAAAGCAATCCAAAATATTGGAAGAACTTGTGGAGAATGCTAGCTGCTCAGGAGAACTGGAGAATATTTAACATTTTTAAAGGAAAACTTTGGGGATCAAGTTTTTCCAAAGAGTAGTGAACTCTTCCCTCTATTTTCTGTGCAATGGGAGCATCTTGTGTTTAACACTTGTACATTTGGAGTGAATACTATTTGCACGATGTATAGATTACATCTGCATTGTCTTATTATAAAGTAAGGTAGTTGTTGATGCTTGATCCAGATCCCACGTTTCTTATTCAAAAAAGGAAGCTATTTCTGCAAAAAAGAAAATAAAATGTCTGCTTTTTGTTACTTATAACCAATCTTGACAGCTTGTACTCCCATATTTTATCCAGTTCTTCCTTTGTTGTTTGTGATCTTACATTGTTACCAGTGTCCTGGTCCAGATTTCTTTTTGCAGTGGTACATGTAAAGCTAGACTGGAGGGCCAAAGCTCAGAGACTTGCAGCATCCCCTCCCCCCGTCACTTCCTAGCAAGTGCAGATGACCAGAGCAGCCAGAGTAGCAGAAGTAAATGCCATTTTATTTTGTAGTTTTGATGGTACTATGATTTAAATGAATTTATAATGCAAAACTGGCCAAAAATATGAAACCAGAATTGGCAAACTTTCTAACAGTCCTCAAGAATGCCGCAGGATTTATAAGGCATGGAATGGCAGTGGAATGGGAAGAAAAATGTTGTGTGCTTCACAACTGAATCAGTGCAGAAGGCCATCCAACCCTTTCCCCCATAAGGCCAGGGTCTAAAATTATGTAGCTGCACAACTGCCTATATGTATATAAGGTGCATATAGACAGGGAAGCTTTGGCTGCAACCTACAGTCTTCATTGAACAAGAGGCTGGACTAGATGATATCTAAGGTTCATCCCTTCCTGCTTGTCAGTTGTACATCTTCTGAGTCTGCTAAACATCAGTGGTTATATAGTTTACTTAGTTCTTACATAAGAATGATGTGACTTTGAGACTCATATAGTTCTTTGGCCTTGACTAAGACACTTGTCTTAGTCCTTCATGAATCACTGCCTTGTCATGGCTAAGGGGCTTGCGTAGCTCAATGAAGCTATGAGCTATGCCATGCAGGGCCACCCAAGATGAACAGGTCATAGCAGAGAGCTCTGATAAAACATGATCCACTGGAGAAGGAAATGGCAACCCACTCCAGTATCCTTGCCATGAAAACCCCATGGACAGTACCAAAAGGTAAAAAGATATGACGCCGGAAGACGAGCCCCTCAGGTCGGAAGGTGTCCAATATGCTACTGGGGAAGAGCAGAGGGCTAGTACTAGTAGCGCCAGAAAGAATAAAGCAACTGGGTCAAAGCCAAAAGGACACTCAGTTGCAGATGTATCTGGTGGTGAAATTAAAGTCCAGTGCTGTAAAGACTATACTCCATAGGAACCTGGAATGTAAGATCCATGAATCAAGGCAAGCTGGATGTGGTCAAACAAAAGATGACAAGACTGAACATCAACATCTAAAATGGACAGGAATGGGTGAATTTAATTCAGATGACCATCAGGTATACTACTGCGGGCAAGAATCCCTCAGAAGAAATAGAGTGGCCTTCATAGTCAATAAAAGAGTAGGAAAAGCAGTACTGGGATACAATCTCCAAAATGACAGAATGATCTCAGTTCGAATCCAAGGAAAACCATTCAGCATCACAATAGTCCAAGTCTGTGCCCCAACCACTGGTGCTGAAGAGGCTGAAGTTGACCGGTTCTATGAAGGCCTACAACACCTTCTAGAATTTACACCAAAAAATGATGTCCTTGTCATCATGGGGGATTGGAATGCTAAAGTAGGAAGCCAAAAGAATTAACAGGCAAGTTTGGCCTTGGAGTACAAAATGAAGCAGGGCACAGGCTGGTAGAATTTTGTCAAGAGAATACGCTGGTCATAGCAAACACTCTTTTCCAACAGCCCAAGAGACGATTCTACACATGGACATCACCAGGCGGTCAACACAGAAATCAGATTGACTATGTGCTCTGCAGCCAAAGATGGAGAAGCTCTATACATTCAGTAAAAACTAGACTAGGAGCTGACTGTGGCTCAGATCATGAGCTTCTTGTTGCAAAATTTAGGTTTAAATTGAAGAAAGTAGGGAAAAGCAGTAAGCCACTCAGGTATGACCTAAATCATATCCCTGATGAATATACAGTAGAGGTGACAAATAAATTTAAGGAATTAGATCTGATAGAGTGCCTGAAGAACTTTGGATGGAGGTTTGCCACATTGTACAAGATGTAGCAACAAGCCATCCCAAAGAAAAAGAAATGCAAGAAAGCAAAATGTCTGTCTGAGGAAGCTTTATAAATAGCTGAGGAAAGAAGGGAAGCGAAAGACAAGGGAGAAAGAGAAAGATACACCCAATTGAATGCAGAATTCCAGAGAATAACTAGAAGAGATAAGAATGCTTTCTTAAATGAACATTGCAAAGAGATAGAAGAAAACAATAGAAAAGGGAGGACCAGAGATCTCTTCAAGAAAATTGGAGATA